TGCCTTTCCCATCCATGCATTGCTGTCTGTCCAGCTTTCCCTCTGTGTGAATGCTACCCCACTTGTGTCTCATGGCTGACTGATCCAAAGGGTGCATCTTCCTAGAGTAGGTGGGTGCATCAACCTGGGATAGGTGTTCTGTGTGTAGGTCTTTCCACTGTTGGGCTGAGAGTCAATCCATGTAAGAGAGTTCATTTCTAGGCCCAAAGGATAACCCAGGGTCATAGTCTTGGGGGTTCCACCAATCTCTCTCCGACCAGCAATTCTGGGCATTTTTTGTGTTTTTGAATTTTGTTCCACATTTTTCCTCCCACTCTATCCACAATCTCCAGATTTGATCCCCTTCTGAGCAGTTGACATTGGTAACTGGGCACCATCTAGTTCTTCTGGTCTTGGTTCATAGAGGCTGAGGTCCTCGTGGGCCTTCTCTTTTAACTAATTGTTTCCAGATGACTTTGATTTTCTTCACTCTTCTTTGCTCCAGATGAGAGGAGACCAATAGTTACATCTTAGATCGCCTCTCCAAAGCTTTTAAGACCCCAGTTGCTACTCACCAAAGTAGGATATAGAACACAATTTTTATGTACTATGTTGTGCCAATTGAGTGAGATGTACCCTAAGACTATGATCCTGAGCCCACGGGCTGAGTGATTCTTCCCCTCAAGGTATTTGGTTATCTCTGAGAAGCTACTCCAGCCTTGTCTTCTGTTGCTTCTGTAATGGATGTGGCTAATTTTGTAGCACAAGCACATATATAAGATTATCTTCAGCCTACTCTATCCTTGGTCTAGAGTGTATTCCTGTTTTCCCACCCCCACCTGCTCTTCTCACCTGTTTATGCCTTAATCCATAGCCTGTTATTTGGTGCTAGTGATAATGCAATGTTGTATATGTAATAGTATTTGCCTCTGTTGTCTGTATCTTTTGTGCAAATTTCAGGGTCTTTCCTTTCCCCAATATCACCATGCTGGTCACTGACTCTTTCCATACCATTCCTCCCCTCACCAAAATCAACATCTGACCCCCAAATAGTCCACAATTTTCCCTCCCCTTTCCTCTCATCCCTGGTGATTTCCAAAGCTACAAATCTTTACAGAAGCAGACTGCCTCACCTTTCTCCAACTGAGTGGCTAATAGGATTGAACTGACTACATTTTGGTTAGTAGGACAATGCTTTAATCACTGTGCCACCAGAACTCCTTATATAAAATATAGTTTATAATTTTTCCTTAATGTTATAAAGGTAAAACATTCTCTCTGTACATAATTACATACATACCCACTTAGTGGCATAATATTATATTATTTTAACAAGTGTTTTGGCTTTATCTAATTATTGAGGGCTTCAAGATATGTGGTAAAAGGAACAACCATTTACATAGTGTTCTCCTTCCTTCACACTGACTGAGCTTTCATTTTCCTCTCTCTATGTAAAGGGACCATGTTTTCAAAAAGGACCATTCCCTGGAGAAGGATATCATGGTTGGTAAAGTAGAGGGTCAGTGAGAAAGGGCAAGACCCTCAACAAGATGGATTGACACAGTGGCTGTAAGGATGGGCAAGCATAGCAAGGATTGTGAGGATGGTGCATGACCAGGCAGTGTTTTGTTCTGTTGAATATAAAGTCACTATGAGTCAGAGCCAACTCAATGGCACCTAACAACAACATATAAATGGCAGATTGATGTGTTTTATATGGTTGTAAGTTTTATTATAATTCCACGTAAAAGAGGAGATCCTGGATTTGTAAATTTAAGAGCTTTACTGAAACAACTGTTAGAAATCCTAACCTAGAGAAACCTTGATTTGTCCTTTAGTTCCATGAAAGTCATCAGTAAACTCTAGTTCTCGACTGTATGCTAGAAAAGTTGTTATTGAACATTAGGACTAAGGGTTCCTCTAAAATACACCTGGACAGGTACTCCAGTGACTTACCGTCTGTCTGGCTTAACTGTTTGCACCAATAATCACACCAAAGGAAATATTATGTGATTTGTTCAATGAATGACAAAATAATGAAGAAGAGAATTTAACATTGTTGAGGCTCTTTTTTTCCCCCAGTAAATATGTAAATTGTTTGATTTAATAAAAAAGTAGAGCTATGAGTCGGGTCCGACTCGATGGCACATAACAACAACAACAACAACAAGGTCATTTTAAATAATCAACCAATTTATAGCCCCAAAATGAGTCTAATTGCTTATCAATTAGGCAGTATCTTCACTGGGAGACCAAATAAGCTTAAAATTTCATCATATAGTCAACCAATCAGGAAATTTTCAAATCACTTCCCTAAATTCTATTACTCTGTGCTTTCCCTTCAAAGTAGCATTTTCTTCAGATATACTATTATTTTGTGACCAAAATTACCAGTGCCACCATATCAACATCAGCCCCAGTTTTGCATTTCTAAACAGATTTTAACTCAAAAAAACAAACTACCTGCCAATTTGAACTTCCAAGGTTGTAAACGTTTATGAAAGCAGACTGCCCCAACTTTCTTCCACAGAACCAAATGCCTAAATCACCAGAGCATCTTAGATTTTAACTAGTCAATTACTATGACCTGCTTTTTCCCCATTCCTCAAAATGTTAGAGATATGAGGTCAAAAATCTAGAGAAATGAGTATGCTCACCAATTATATAATAATTTTAATCCTGTATGCAGTTTTAGTTACCGTGAAAAAGTAATCATCCATTTCATTTCTAAATGTTTCTTAAATACCTCAGTGTATGTCACTATCAGATGATTTAAGGGGAGGTATGCTTGATATTTAATTACAAAATGACATAGACTTTTACATCAGCTTATTAAAATGAAAATGTGATACATGTGGTTCTTAGGGAGAATTCTATAACCACTACAAGAATACTTTTATTTATTTATTTATTATCCTATAATTTTATTTACCGTGGATATGCCATTATTAAACTCATCGGTTAAAACCACCAAGAAACAAGCATCCAGACAACAATCTATTAATATTTTGCACTGTCTATATTATTCATAACTTGCTAACTCTGTTCTAGGCTGTCATATTTGCTTGTTTTATAACCAAATACAGTCGTGGGGCTCATTAGAAGAAGAAAAGGAATTGATTTCCTAGGAAGATCATTGAACTTTTTAATGCCAACATGGCAATTAAGACAAAACATAATTCATATCCATACTTTGTACCCCAAAAAGCAGGCAGATTCTGGACAGAGCTGACATACACAACAAAAACAGGGGCTGTATATATTTATGATACTCTTATTCTAAAAGTATCCTATGCACAATGAAAAACAGTATACAAAAATAGCATTATTCCCGACTTTCACAAAATTATTCATATCTGGAAATGCATATAGGAGTAAAAAAATCACAACAGGATGGGTTTAGTCACATTAGATGTCAATAACATATTTCATACAGAAATCCTTGAGACAATAATGTTAGCAAAGATTACTTTTAAGGCTCTCTTACTAAGGAGTAATGTTTGGGTAGTTTGAGTTTTTTCACTC